TGAGTATTGATGAGGTCAACGTAGGCAATTTATCCTTGTTCTGACATCCGAAGACGGGTGATGTCCAAGACACGCATCTGTGTTTGGCAGCATTGACCATTGTTTTAACTGCGGCACTGAGGGCTCTAGTGAACCTTTCAGCTGATGGAACTTATTCGAACAGAAGTTTGATCAAAGTATTTTTCTCAGCTCTAGCTGCAGGCACTTGTTTTGTTGTTTCAGACCAGTTATGATTAATGAACGCTTTCGGGTACGTTGGTGAACAGAGACATAGCATCAAGAGAGAAAATTTATTTTCCTGCTCAGTTTACGTCTTTTATAGCATCCACGAACGCGACAGTCTCGTATTGTGTTGTGCAAGTTTTTTATGTACTGGTTCGAGAACTTCTACTAGCCACTGGGCGGTAGCGTGATAGGCTGAGTCTATTGTGGGCAGTAAGGGACGAAAAGGTAAGCCAGGTTTGTGAATTTTTGGTAAACGGTATAGCCGCGGTATGTTGGAACCCACAGGTTTGAGTCTTTCAAAGGTTCGATGACATAGATATCGGTGGTCTCGAGCCTTTTCAGCGTTCCGCTGTCTACGTAGCATTGCACGAGTCTGTTGGGGCGACCGGACGAGTAATGCTGTAGTTAGACACAGAGTTTTAGGTAACTGGAGCAAGTGGTCGACCCTCATAGATTACTTTGGTTGGAGCGGGTTTTACGCATGTCACCAATTAGGTTGCCACGGCGAGCGATGTTTGCCGAGGCTGGTAGTAGGTGGAAAAAAGCCAAGGGCGGTCAAGCTAACACCTGGCACGAGGGTATGAAAACCCGAACCAGGAGACTCGGTCACATAGGTTCCGTTAGGCTCCCTGGATGAGGACCCCGAGATGATGGTCACCGGTGGTTAGGGACATTGAGTGATATGGTTGAGTGTCGTAAACAGTGGCTTCCGTGCATCCTCTCAATTTCTTTGAAGCTATAGTTTACTGGAGTTCTGAATTTTCTGTTCGACTCTACTTTCAACCTTTCTTGTCTTTCGCCTTCTGTTCATCCAAATGGATGGCCAAAGAGAGCAACCAAAACCGGCGTACGGAAGTGCATGGTTAATGGTTGTATAAACTGAAAACTGAAACCTTCAGTGTTTCTGTGATTTTCCCTTCGGTTTTTTTCAGTTTGGTCGCACTGTGCTGTATGGCGACTGAATTTTGGTTTATCCTACAGCGAGGTTACCGCTTTAGAAATGTATAATTCATGATCCATTACAACGATGCTAGCTCCTTTATCGGGACTATTCGGGCGAATCCGCTGGTCCCTTTGTAGTTCTGTTAGCGCATCGAGATGCCCCCATGCAAGAGGGCCAGGATCGCGAGCGTGGTAACGCTAAAATTGATAGCAAGTTTCAGAAGGAACTCACCGAAAACATTGGACGAAGGAGTGTCGTAAACGATGGCGCTCGTACATCCATGTATTATCCTTGCAACCTTAGTCTTCATGTTTTCTCTATTTTCATTGCACTTGCGTCTTAGTCGTCAGTAGAACCATGAAGTATAAAAAGACTATGGTTTATAGATTCTTTTGAACCCCTCGAAAAGTCGGAGTAAAACAGAAACAATACCCTTAAAATGTGGAGAACAACCCCGAACTATGCTGTAACCATGGGNTACTCTATTATCTGCTAGGAAAACAAGGCAAATAATGCAGGTAATATTTCGGTGCATGCACAGTACACACACACACACACACACACACACACAAACACCTAATCTAGGTATTAATCGGTGGACCACCAATATCGACTCGTTTCAATGCGTGTACGGATTCAAGGGTAGACAAAAGCGGCGACGTGCTTTGTGTAAACAATGTGTCACATAAAGCCGTCAGGTATATTGCGCATGGGGAAGGCAGACTTGAATCGTCGGATATGGATGGATGACTCACACACAAGTATGGTCATGGAACAGGATGACGCAATAGATAATAGTTCTCTTAAACAATTGCGTTATCAGTTAGACGGTAGGAAGACAAACCAAAAACCGATGAGCGTGCAACCGTGAGTCCACTTCAAACACTTGGTAGAACTGCATCCGATTGGGGAACGTGCATGTAGTAGCACAGTGCAGTCTTCTAGGTCAGCTCAGTCACCCCACCTATCAACACGAGACATTCACGTGAACTGCGCCTGTGGAATTAGCTATGGCGAAAGATTTACGCAACGCACGCGCGTGACCCCAACGAATTGGAGGAAGCCGATGCTCATTTGATTGTGCAATTAAAGAGTTCACCTGAGTTCACTAAGGAAAGTGGTGTTCGTCAGGGTTGCCCTCTTTCTCCTTTTCTATTTAACTTCGTTATAGATTTGATTATGGAAACAGCCTTATCCCCATGCGACAATAACGGTATCGATTTACTTCCAAGTGCCGGACTGTCTGATCTGGAGTATACCGACGACACGGTTCTGCTGTGCGAAGATGCACGTAAGTTGCAAGCGTTTCTGGATAGTTTGAATGCTAGTGTAGCTATGTTCGGTATGCGTTTTGCACCTTCAAAGTGTAAAATGTTACTAAAAGACTGGGTTGGTCCAGCACCCAGCCTCACACTAACTAGGGAAGTAATAGAGCAAGTGGATAAGTTTTGTTATTTGGGCAGCAACATCCCACCCGGTGTACGCATCACGGATGAAGTGTCAGCTCGAATACAGAAGACTCAGTTGGCATTGGCCAAATTGAGACAAAAGACAGCAACCAAAACCGCCGCACGAAGGTGCATGATTAATGGTTGTAAAAACTCAAACTCAACTCAAAAGAATTATCAACTCTTCACAGGAAACAATTATACATATAAATATAGGCTAGGTTGATTTAGTCACCAAGACACAGAAGACGTAGAATTCAATTGAAGCGGAGTTCATTGTGATACATAAGATGTGCTGACGATATGGCGGTGAACACAAGCACCAACACGTGACCTTTTCTTCTTGGTGTGATATAACAGCCCTTTGACTGGACACTTCCTCTTTTCCGGAAACTGGCTTTCACACTTATGGACTCAACAAAAGAAATTGAAATAATCAAAAAGACAAAAGCACGAAAGGAATAGTCTGAATCTGAAGTAAACCAAATCGAATCAAATTTGACTTCTGTTCCATATGTATGTTCACTTCGTTTGTAATCAGGAAGTAACCTGAATAGGATCCACTGGCAGTAGTTGCACGTGATTAGTGCACAACCAATTACGTCACGAACAATGATGCAACAGACGCGACTGAAAACTTATTCCTGCAAGATAGGGGTTTGTGAACCCCGCGGACTGTGAAAAATGGTTATTGATTATCGAGGAGATTTAGCTGTCCAGTGAATGTGGGAACGAAACAAAACTGGAGACGAGTGCGCAACTCTACTAGAGTCGTGTGACATGATGAAGTGTGGCGGTTGGGTGAGACCGGTCAGAAGTCAGCTGCTACAAGTGACTGTCGAATATCTATTTGAAAGCAATTCTGTGTACTTAAGCAGTTACGTTTACTTCCTCCCGATCATCATGGGCAGTCTCGGAACTATATATTCCGAACAGCGCGATTGGTGAGATAACCAAACCATGGAATTTATTTGACCCGGGTTCCTAATCTCTAGTATTGACCAACAGTGATACCTTTTGTGAGAGAAAACCAGAGTCTTGTTTGAGCTGACTGGAGTTGTATCGAGTTATTATCACATGACTCTGGACAAACAATGAATTGAAAAATACTCACTGGTATTTCGACGTTTTGCTATCAACAGTGTGTTTTTCTGGATCGAAATTTCCATGAAATTATGGTAAAAAGTTATCGCATCGGTAAATTGTTTGGCATAGTTTAATTCCCTCTTTCTTTACTACTACTCAGTATTTCTCCCATAAACTTGTGTGATGGACTGAAGACGGGGCAAACCCCATAGTCACAAGAACCTGTTGCTCATCCATGGAAACCAGCAACTTATGCCCGGGGACTTGGAGTGGCGATCCACATAAGGGTCTTTTACGTTAGGCGTGGTATTGAGCCGGATATGTGCGGAATGTATTCCCGTGTACTTCCTGTCTGCCAGAAATGAGCTGTCTCTGGCAAAGACTCTCCGTGTGCTAGTTTATTTGGCTACGGTTGTCTACGGAGCATTTAGCATATCTCATGGTAACAGTACGTGAACAATGACTAGTTGAAGTATCATTTGTTGGGTACGAGGAGTCAATCTCGTACCAAAATAACCATAGCCAACTGCTTCGAGTGGTTTCGATACAAAACTGGTTTAATCGGGCAAACACCTTCCGTATGGCTGTGACTGCTGCATTTAGATGTGAGAAGCACTGTCACGGTCAATCGATCAAGACTGTAGAGAGAGGAAGCTAGAGGTAATCTTTGGTCTTGCTTTACCGTTCTCAAGGGCCTGATTACGACGGCACAGAGGGGGATTCTGGATGCCGTTTCTTCGAAACTGAGAAATAATGACAGCGAGTGAAATATATGTATAACGTTTTGTGGGTGCTCAAATATCATATAATTCAAATTTAGTTATTTGAAGAAAAAAGAAGTTTTAATAATAATTCAATCACCACCTCAACATGATCGACCGCCACGTAGAGATAATTAGAGAAACAATATCAACCTGCAAAGCTACCGGCGACTATAGTCTCAAAACGTCAAAAAATTTATCTTTGTCCTTCATTTGTGGTGAAAAATTTCACAAATTCATCTGAACTGCAACCTTTTTTCGAGTAAACTCGATGAATTTGGCGCTGAGAAACGTTTCTTATCCTCGCCATTACGTTAGATCTCGAACCGAACAGTGTCTATAAAAAACATGTATATGGAGTGAAACGGACTAGCTCCAAACACAGTGATGCCAAATACGTAAGAAAATGCGGATTGCAACTGTCCAAAATTTGTGGCTTTAGTCAGGCTTTATTAAATCCACATAACTATGGTGCTACCGACATCACCACCAACCATAGATAATGTGATCAAATGATCGAGTAATTGTGATACTTACTTGCGAGAAAACGCCTTGGTACAAATATGACAGACATGTGGCTTTTCAGCCGTGTGGATAGACATCACGTGACGCTTCAGTTTGTCCTCCCGTACGAAACATCGACCGCAAGTGTCACAAAAATGTTTCGGTTCATCGTGCACAACTCGATGTTTGAGTAAAAGTGCTTTTTGAGGGAACACACGAGGACAAGCTGGACACAAATAGTCTCCATTTCCATCACGTTGATCCCAGTTAAGGTTGGCAGTCACAACGGTGGGTGTCGCATTATTAGTCGTGTTGCCAGTTGGATTTGCCACCGGAGTACCATCAAAGTCGGATTGCATCCCTGAGTTATCTGTGGCATTCGTGGACCGCGATTGGGCGTAAGGTGTACAGGCCGACAAGGAACCAGCGATCACTGTCGAACTTGGAAAGCTCACTGAGCGCCGTGCTACAGTTAGCAAGTTGTTCTGATCCGGATAGAGAGATTAAATACAGGATGGGACATCTATGATTCACATCTTTATTACTACCGTGATTTGTTTGACACACAATTTGGACTCGTGCACGTGTGAAACATTATAGCTGTGAGGTTTAGTAGGGAAAGGTAGAGAAGAATCAGAAACTGCACGTTTTATACACTGGCTTACTACCGCGGTCTAACCATTATTAGCCGTGTCTCTTCTATTCCTGTGAATGGCTGAGCTTTAAAACTTTCAGAGTACCACGTAACATCTTGTGTGAAATTTACTGAGAGGTTTCTCTCGGATCCTGATCCACCATTGCACACAGAACTGACACGTAGCTTCCATCACTCAACAAGCTCCCGATTCCGCCTAATTTCAGCTCGAATTAACGCTTACCGCAATTCAGCTATACCGTATCTTGCTGGTTTACTCATAAATAAAGAACGGACAATGAGTGAACTTGGTCTTAACCTTGGATTATGGAATGTCCCCATATCTGTAAACATTGTATCCCTGTTGAATATGTTCTTTGTGACGGCCGGCGTGTATAGCTTTTTAACTGAAATGTGAGCTCCAGTGCTTGCAAAAGTTATACATAATACAATACACAATGTCTACAGGGATTTATTTATCTTTCATTATACTCTTACCTTAGGATGATGAACAAGGGATGAGGGCTATGGTCACGAATACCTAAGATTTATTAGCAATGGTACATCAAGCAAATAGTATAACCATTATTTACTGATAAAAGGGTGAGGTACGATTCTAAATTCAGAAAATGAACCTCTTGAAGTTTTGGCAATTACAGACAGACCACGAGTTGGCTTTGTTTTTATGACGATGCACTTGTACAGTACCTTTGCTTAACGCAGTTGGACCCCAACAGGTATCTTCGATAGATGTAACACTGACTGTAGACGAAATGAATCTGAGACTCACGAACACAAAACTCAATTAGCGAGCTGACTTACACACTGATCACTCGTCAGAACAGAGCTTTTGAATGAGAGCTGAATAGTAACATGATGGCAGAGCTTCAATTTACTTTCGTTTTTACGGGACCATCCACTGGTGGAGGATACATGGACTTGATGGATATGGTGAATATCGTGCCGTAACAGTAATAACACCAGAAAAGTTATGAATTTCATTATCATCATCATCGTACAGCGAAATACAGAGAATCGAACTTCACTGATCGCTGCCAAACTCGCAATGGTTTGATGGACGGATACCGCTAGGGTGTCCAGCCACTAAGCAGGATAAGGATTAGGGTACTCAACTAAAGCCTTTAGTTTTGACAAGAACTGAAACGCCGACTGAAACGCAAATTCTAGTCGAACCCCCAACCTGGAGGACCAGGAGACTGGACTTCGTCTAACCTCTACCCTTCGACCTTCCAGACATGACTAGACCTTCGGCTTGACAAAAACTATCCTGTGTAGATCGTTGGGTCAGAGAGATGCATAAGCCATCACACCATGTCAAGGTGCAGTCTCGTCGTGATGACCGTTCGCAAAAACATGTGACAGCACTGGTCAGGGCTATTTTACAATTTGGTTGCCCAGTCCACAGTGGGAAATAAGCTGACTTCAATAAGCGATTTTCGTTTGAGGTGCCTTCTAATTTACTACCCATTGTGAGGTTCAGTGGCCTCTTGCGGAATACCATGTCGGACAGATGGAGCATACGGGGAGCAGTGGCCTTGCTTAGTGGAGGGTAGCGATTGCAACGTCGCAGTGAGGTCAACAGGCCCATGTGGTGTTTCACAACACAGAGAGTCAGTAAGCCCGAAACCTGTCGTGTCTTCGTACATTGCCGCTAATCGTGAAGGACCGCTTACTTAGTGAATTCAGGTTCAGTTTGTTTACGCCTAGCCTCCAAATCGGTCTCCGACACCCAATCAGCGACACTAGGTCCTATAGAGCTAATCGATCAATGTAACTGTTTGAGTGAAACTATTGAACAATTTTTCGGGCAGTAGAATTTAGCTGCCGGGACACATTGTTTGATCTGATTTGTGGATCTTAAATATCCCGATTTCGTAGCGCTAGTTTTCTATTATTCATCCGTTCAAACGTCAAATATCTTTCGCATCGCTAGATGCATCAAATTGTGTTCCGAAAAAGTAAAATATTTTGAACTCCAATGACAAATAGTTGAAACCATCACTTTGTCTATCAATTTGCGTTTTAGTGTGTCCAGTTTGCCGCTAACTTAAGGCTGTCTGTGAAGGATCGAGTGGATGCAGCAACAGTTCTGCCAATGCTACCTTACGGTACAAAGACTTGGCCATTACGAATACAGGACAAAGATAGACCGTCAGAGTTCGAACACCGTTGTCTACACCGCACAGAGCGAGTATGGTTTGAAAACTGCACAAGCAATTCTGGAGTTAGACGCAGGGGGTTAGGTGACTGCGGTCACCCACCGGAGCAAGTGGTCGATCTCCATAGATAGGTTTGGACGTGCTGCGGACGTCACAAAATAGGTTGCCACAGCGCGTGTTGTTTGCCGAGGCAGGTAGAGGGTGGAAAAAAGCCAAGGGCAGTCAAGCTAACACCTGGCACGAGGGTATGAAAACCCTAACCAGGAGACTCGGTCACATAGGTCCCGTTAGGCTCTATGAATGAGGACCCTGCGATCATGATTACTGGTGGTTAGAGACGTTAAGTGATATATTTGAGTGCATCTACCCATTATCCTTGCAACAGTCCACGTAAATTCCCTATCTTCTCTTTAACTCTGCTTTCAATATTCCAATCTTTCTTCTACACTTTCTCCAAAATGAACAGCCTAGAGATAGCGACCAAAACCGGTGCACGAAGGTGCATGCTTAATGGTTGTAAAAACTGAAAGTAACCTGAGGCAGAACAGGTAAATGGAAAACGACTGTTCTAAACGGACAGTCTGCTTGAGTTCATTTGTTTATTCGCTCTTTTAACACACGTAAAAACATTCCTTTCTAAATCTCAAAGGGGGGTTGACCATTTTTATCAAGAATGAACAACTCAGTCAATCAGAACTAATAGCAATCAGTTAGGAAAAAGCTCAATCAAACTTACCGAACCATCTGCGTGGCCATTGTTTCCGGCACTATTCAGTGCAAACGCGTTTACCGAACAGATCGACTGCACAGAGCAGACGGGAGGCTCATTACGATGAACCGGCGCGAGACTCAGTGTGAATATCCGGTCTGTTCCCGTGCCCTCTAAAGCTGGATCAATTTCCAAAGACGGATCCGGTTTACGATTACCAGCCAATGCAAACACCACATCATCGACAGCAGCTACTGCCGCATTTACGTATTCCTCCTCATCATAGACTTCCTCCCCTTCCTCGACCGTTCTTTCCTGTTCACTTTCGCCGAGGATGAGTTTTGATTGTGCCACCGGCTCAGAAACCACAACCTCGTCCGCCTCCGGTTCTGAAGTAGCACCACCATTTATGTTCACGGAGGACACAGAATTTATACCCAATATTTCCACCTCGGGTATGGCAGTTGTTTCGTCAAGAGAAATTTCACATACAGGTTGAACTCCAGTAGAACCTAGACTGGTGTGTTGGTCCGGAGAGGACGGTAGGGGTGAGGTGGGAGAACCAGAATCATTGTGAACTGGGTCCACTGGAAGAAGGAAGTCAATGTCCTCTTGACTGACCTCATGCTCTACTACCTCTACGACTGAAGTGTCTTTTGGAACAAGTGGAAGTGCATCTGAGGCGCATACCGATGTCGGAGTATTTGTAAACATGTCCTGAATGGTGGGATCGTTGTTCTGTGACTGATCGACAGATGGTTCAACGCTCGCACTGTCTACAACCAGTATCGTTTGTTGTGTATCCAGAGGAATTGGTTTTGGACTGACTGAGGTGACGCCAGCCCCTGAATCTGAACTTATCAGTGATGGTGCGGGTTTCGATGGCACCAGTTCTGACTCTGACTGAGCAACTAATGGTTTAGTTCCGGATTTGAGGGAGGAAGTATCTGTTTTCAGTGTAGTGGCCAGGTCAAAAGGAGAAGTTTTAAGTAGATATAATTCATCATCACAGTCATCGGTTGCCGGCAAAGAAGCGGAGTGGGAGGAAATAACCTGTTCCAAATCTTTCAAATTTTCCGCAGTTGCACTTGGTGAGCATGCATCGAACTCATCCTCAGCTGCTACGGATGGATGATGACCGGGAGATACTCGCAGTAGGACAGCGTGTGTGGTAGGGCTCTGTGTCCACCCGCAATCTACGTCGTCGTGTGACACATTTGTATGAGTGGACTCTGAGTAAACCGGCACTGCGGGCTTGATGGTGTCAGGTCGTTGAATGACCGGTCCCTGAGGACTGGGACATGCTGATGTTGGTTTAGAAATGAATGTCGTAGGATCCGCAGTTATGTGAACATCAGATATTGCACCGGTGGGGCTGTGTGGGGGCATACTGGAGGAGCCAAGGTTTGGGATACGAGTAACGTTGGAAGGAGCTGATTTGCTTATAAACTCAGGGAAATGGGAATCCGGTTGCGGAGTGGATACCAGAGGATGTTGTGCTCCTCCAGGAGAGAAAGGGACAAAGTTAGCGGATGGTATAGCTGTCATACCTGTTGAAGCGGCGGCCTTGTTGGTCGGCTCGGTCATATTGAGAGTCACCGCTGCTGCTGCCGTTGTTGTTGTAGCAGGGATAGACAGTAAAGAGGTTTGAAACTGTATACCCATGGGGTGGGTATCCAACGCCCTAGGAGAATCACATGGAGTGGCCGGAGAAGGCGTACAGGATGGGCGGAATCGAGATTCGTCGCCAGTTGGTTGGTTTCCCACTGCTACAGGAGTGTGGGTGCACACCGGAGGGGGATTAGAAACGTCGGAAAGGTGGGAACATGGGTCACTCAAGGATGTGGGTGGTGTGCAAACCATAAGAGAAGAGGGATAAGTCAAACTGTTATGGTGTTGAGAAACAGTGCTGGGGATGAGCATTGATAACGGATCATCATCGTCATCATTTGTATCGCTTGTAGCAAAAGCTGCGGCGGTCGAATTCAGTCGCGATACCAGTAGTGCTGCTCCCCCTGGAGTATGCAAACCGTGTTCGTGACTATCTAAACCATCTTTCACACTATCACTGGCGACATTGTCCAAAGCGTTGCAAACCCGAGTGTGAGGTGGAGTATTCAAACCAGACGAAGAGGATCGCAGTTGTGGGGACGTGGGCGATGCAGCCGCAGCAACGGCGGCTGCAGCTGCTAGCAATGAGCGTACATCATCATCTTCATCATCCACAAGCGGAGAGCCGACCAAATTCGGTTTCATCGAAATGCTAAGTTCATCTGTGAATCTCATTAGATGATCTGTTGGAGCCGTAGATGATAAGGGATCACTGGAAAGGGTCAAATGCGCAAGGCTAGGGTTTACGTGATCCGCGTGGACTACCACTTCGTCCACTAAAGAGTTCGGATGCGGGAAATTCACCGCGGTGGAAATGAGAGTTTGGCCGGTGCTGGGATCGGCAGCTGCAGCACAGGTGACGCTGCTATCCGCCACATTTCTGGAAGATGTTACCTGCAGTTGGGGGGAGAGAGAGCAAAAGTAAATATTACACAAAAAACTTACAGCAACTACAGAAAGAAAATTTGCAGGTTATATTTCAAAAACTAAACTATATTCTCAGACTAACTAAAGGAAAGATGTTCTGTGATCAATTCAAAAAGATAACACAAAACAGATACTGAGCATGATTGTAAGATAAAAACGACCATAACCTAACAATAACAACATATAAATGGCGAAGAATTTAGGATAGCTTTTTACACTAATAGCCTCCACACTCTTATGGGCAGTAAGTGGTTTTCAATACTCTTTGTTGAGCACGGTCCACCAACTAAGTCGGACAGACATTTCGGAGTACGCTGAATATATAAGATTCTGCAATTATATTACATTCCGGAGGTAGGTAGAACCCGGCGCCTTGCCGATGGAAAGATCACTTTATGGTTTATCATAGATAGTGGGGTGCTGCTCCTCTCCATAAACGGTAGTGAACAATCAGCGTAAAAGTCGGTCGGTTTCTTTTAGTACACCATTTGTGATATAGCCAAGGTCGGTATGCATTTTGCACCCTCAAAGTGAAGTGTTGCTAAAGGACGGGATTGGTCCGGCTCTCGACCTCACTAAGATTGAGGAAAGAATAGTGAAAGTGAATAAATTTTGTCACTTGGACAGCTAAAGCTCATCTGGAAACTGCACAAGCAATGTGGAAATTGGTCTCAGGTGATCGCAGTCACCTACCGGAGCAAGTGACCGACCTTCATAGATGACGCTGGTTGAGGCATGTGTTACGCATGTCACCAAATAGGTTGCCACGGGGCGCGTTATTTGCCGAGGAACGCAGTGGATGGAAAAAGGTCACAGGCGGTCAAACAAAGACCTGGCACGAGGGTATGAAAACCCTGACCAGTTAACTTGCTCACATAAGTCCTGTTAGGCTTCCTGAATAGGACATTGCGATCTTCGTAACCGAGTGTTAGAAACATTGAGTGAAATAGTTGGGTGCCGTAAACAATGGCTCTCGTGCATCTGCGCAATGCCCCTGCAATCTTAGTCTCCATGATTTCCGTATTTCCACCCTGACACGGATTCAAACATTCCGATCTTCTCATTACTCCTTCATCCAAAAGGGCGATCAGACAAAAACGTATGGTTAATAGTCGCAAAAGCTCAACTGAACTCAAAATACTCCTCTACTACGAAAAATGGCAATTATCCGGAAAAAGGATGCTAACCTGTGCGAATATGGTCTATCACTAAATAAGGCCGTGGTCATCAGTAGGCAAGCAACACTGGAATGTTTAAAAGCTGGAAGTGCATCTCGGAAAACTGTTTGATCCGGGGGTGAGACTTAGGTGATACTCTCAAAATTCATCATATACCCACTGCGACATACTACTTAATAACACTGTTGATTACCTTCAGGGAAACGCCACAGTCACCGCTGAAAATTTTGAAATAATATTTGGTATTTGTCTAAATAATCACCGCAATAGAAGATCCAAGACTTGATGCTGCGGAAAAACCTACGCCATCAGCGTCGTTCCAAGTAAGAAATTCGACTATACCACAAAAAGTGTTCTATGTCACAGGGAAAGTGTAAATCACTATCAGCATCGTACAGCGAGATACAGTGAAGCGAGCTTCACTGATCGCTGCCAAGCTCACAACGTACACAAATCAAATGATAAAGCAAAAGATGGAGAGGGATTGGGCCTATATGGAGGGAGGCAAAGAAAAAGAACCTCTATGTTCAACACACAGAGTACACAATCTGAGTGTTCATGCATACCTTTTTCAAGCATTCTGCCTTGTTAAGAAATGACAAGAGCGCCACTGCTGTCGGTCAGTCGCCATATCCTTTAATTTCTCCAGCCAACCAGTTGTAGAGCCTTCAGACCCCAACCTGGAAGACGGGAAACACCGATTCTACCTAATCGCTCTGTGCAGCCGATGTTCACCAGAGATGGCACACGTCGATTGTCAATATACCTGTGTCAAGCTCGATCTTTGCTCATCTGGTAGAGACGAGACACTTGGTTGACATGTGCTCGGCATTTACAATCATTTGACGAGTCTCAGTACACCCCTCCAGAGCAATACGGTTTTGGACGTTTGCAACCACAGAGGCGATTAGCATCCGACTAATGAAGCCTGAGCTGTTCGCACAACGCAAATTTATTCAAGCTCTCAAACTCCCTTCGCCAAGCGAAGAGAAATACGTTTGTTCACACGACGATGACGTAACAATATGACGTAAGAGCTTTGGTTACGTGATCTAAGCAGCGCACAAATTTGGAGTCCTCTGGGGCTCATTGCCAAACATATGACTCATCCACTTTTCCATTTGAGCGTATTGAAATTGTTTCATATAAATGTGATTGTAAAGGCTTGAAAAGGAATTCACCGAAAACATATGTTCGCCTAAACTGTGTTCCTAATCAATGGGTATATTCCGTGATACCTCCAAATAATCTGTTTTACATCATCCTCCCGTCAACAGAACCCGGGGCTACAGAGGTGTTGAAAAATGCACTGACGTTAGGCTTTTGGGTCTTCGGAATCAGGTTTTTGGAGATAATAGATGTGGTGTCGGTGCATGGAATCATATAGCTTTTACATCTTCTCGCCTTCCTCGAGCATACTGTGTGCGTGTTGTGCCTACCAGTATGCAATCGACCCCGTCCAGTGTCGATATTGCTCACGTTTTTTCGTACACTTTTAATCATTTATTAAGTTCTTGGTCGGTTGACTAAATAGATAGCAACCCAAAAAGGTGGATGGTTGCACAAGCCTGATGAGTGTACGGACCAGGGCTTCTACGAAAGCCTAAATATTAGTCGGATATCTGTATCAATATGACACCTCTAATAGGCAACATTCACCCCAGTTTCCAGCCTCCCAAGGCCTCAGTATGGTTGGGGGTGGGTGTCTAGGGTTGCGGCTGGTCACCCTGCCCTTGCACCTGAAGAAATGCCCCCATACGACCAAG